GTAGAAACAATTTTACCACGCGATAGTGTGTGAATAATTATTTCGCGACACTCGGCGTGAGCAAATTAATTTACTCGCAATGATTGGCGGCAACGGAGGAAGGGTGTCGGTGTCGTACGCACACACACCGTGCCGATTTGAGATTGATATATTATTCGAACTTAAGATACGCACAGCTGTATGTTACGCATGAAACACACTCGTTGCTAAGAGTGCCAGTAGTTGACGGCTGTGAAAATGGGAAAGTGACGTGGAAACACACGAATAATTGGATGCAATCACGCGCGCGTCTTGCCCTACCAGCTTCCCAGTGTGGTGAGAAGTACAAAAGAAGAAATGCTGTCACTGACGGGTGAGCCCCGAAGGAATCCGGAGAAATCTAAAACAACCCACAAGGATACGGAACCATGCGCGTTTGCCAAATGTGTGGTGGGACTTTACTTACACGCCTCTGTAAACACGCTCAAAGAAAACGCAGCAGAAGCAGGAAAAAAATGAAATTCAAAAACCGTAATATTCATTAATTTGATTGGCCACGGTTTCAAGCTGTCAGCCATTGGTATAAAAATAAAACGGTACTACATCAAATCAAGCTAGCATGTGTTACATACGCTACCGTTGTGAATTCGTTTCATTCTATTGTTGGGTTGTTCATTTTGCGTTTTATTTTTTGGCGTAAGCCCCACTGGAGGGCACTTACGACGACACTAAGTAAATAATGGCCCTCTGAATGCAGGTTATTTTCGGCTGACACTAATCCCCTGCTTTAACTATCCATCACACCGCCTCCTGCTGATGGAGCGTGTAACACGCGCACGCCGCCGACACAAGAAGATGTTCGTCACCCTTATTCTAGCACCTTGTCAATATGCCATCCGAGATTATATCCGACAGATGTAAGTCCCGTTTTGAATCTCGAACAAATAACAACTTGACGATTTCGGTGGTCCTATTGAAATAAATGCCAATGGCCATTCTCTGCCATTTCATCTCAATTTATTAGATAATATAAACGTTAATTAATATGCATATGCTTTTTTTCTTTTGATTTCACAAGATGTGAACGTAATGGAATTCTTCGAAGGTTCGTGCGACACGCAAAACGCATTAATTAGCCGAGAGTTTTATCATCGTCGACCTGTTCGAACCGCGCACGCTGTGCTGTAGTGTGCTTATTAATATGTAGTTTGCGCTTAATTAAAACCGGAAGGCATATAAAGACGACTGGCTCTATTACAGCGCTTTATGTGAGACAAACGGCAAAGTTGGTGGAACGAAGAAGAAGAAGCCGGCGAAGTGATTTGAGAAACTTGAAAACGCCAAGAAGCTATGAAGAGCATTGTGGTGATTCGTTCATGAATGAAATCGTTAGTTATTGCAACCAGTCGGAGTTCCCACCAAATGCGTTCGCTAATGATAATTTACTTTAGTTCTTTAACAGTAATCGAGAAGCACTTTGCGCTCGCATTAAATTCGAGAGTTGTACTCGTGATCTAGTTATCATCACTAACACACAACATTTTATTTAATATCGTAGAATATTTATTTTAGTAACTCTTATAATTTTTGGTGAGAATATTTAAATAGTGAAAAAACTGTAAAACACATAAAACCGAAAATTAAATAGAGTTTTTATTTTTAATGCCGTTGACGGTGAGTTTCGATGCGCTGCTTGTTCATTCGGGCTACGTTTTAATTAAATTACGGCTGGTGGAAGCGGGCAACAATAAACATTAACGGCAAACTCTCATGCCGCACTCGTAAATTTCGTAAAATATTCATATAACAGGTGCCAAACAGTCGCTAAACCAAACTAACAGTTCACCTAAAATGTTTATGCATTTTTCTTATGATATTCATAAATCAGCAAATACAAAGTGCTCTCAGACGTAAGAAAATTTCGCTTATGATGCAGGTTGAAGGTTTAAAGCTAAAAAGCCAAAGTCGTGATCGATACGTCACGTCCAGAAATGCAGCGCTTCTTCATCCGAAACAAGAGAAGTACGAGTACGCGCGCTATTCGAGACTTGAGTGGGTGGGTACTGTGAATGCATGTCCGAAACATACTTCAGATCCTCCGGCGCGCTGTGCGCGTACCAACGATTTTTCGTCTTGGTTCTGTTTCGTTTTACCTGGCTCGGAATTCGGAGAATGCGGTCTCGTCCACGCCTCATCTCACGACCGAGGAGACGAAGACACTATTGCCGGCCGCTGTCCGTGTGCGTCTGTGCTGGGCTGGGATTATGGATGGCTCGTGATCCATTTAAATCTGATTTTCAATTTTGCACGCTCGCGAGATGGAAAAATGCGCCGCCGGCGGCGCGGCGCATGCAAATTGAATGTTTGGCGGTGTTCGCATAGTCGTCGATGGCGCCGAAGTGTTTGTTATACGATTTATATTTTATTTAGATTTCGATGCAATTGCGTGTTTAAGTTTATATCCGTTGCGAAATTGAGATGAAATAGGCTTTGACCAGTCTCTTCGTGACTGGTTTTATAATACTTACAACGGCTGTCATTCCGCGTTCGGAACAAAAGCGAAGGGAATTTTATAACGTTGCTTCATGTCATGGTCTAGTCTAGTATTATATTTCTTGCGCGAATTTCTACTCACATAGGGAAATAATTAAAATTTACACACAAAATATTAAATTCTAGAGTTTTAAATAGAGTAAAACCTCTGCATAATGATGTTCAATAGACTAGACATTTTAAACCGTTATAGGGAGATATTGTTACAGGAAGAAATAATTTTTTTTTGGTCGTCACACAGAGGAAAATTAATAAATTTATTTTTCAGACGCTGTTAACACAAATTTCGCGATTGTTTTGGATTTGTCGCGTTACAAGAAGATTGCTCAGTACTTTTAAAAGAAAATTCAAAATAAAGTTTGCGAAATATTTGCCTCACACTGTAGATGAAGTGTGAATGAGTGATATCTCGTCCCGCTTCGCAGAGAAACAGAATATTATCAGAAATTAAAATGCAAAGCGTGAAGAAACCGGACGAAATGAATCCTCCCGTTAGCGAACTGGTAGTCGGCTGACGATGGATTAAAGCGTGAATGTAGAACGCTACGGACCAGACAAAGTGAGACTGAAGTTACACCGCAATAACTTCGTATGTAAATGGCGGACGGCCGCACGCCGCAGGAAGTAGGAGGTACAAATTACGACGGCTTTGTTTCATCAATTTAAAAGTCAACCGAGCTACTGAGCGCTCTGCAGTGGGCAGAAGTTGTCGATTGTTTGTTACAAAAATTAAGACATATTTGTTTCAAATTTTTTAACTTTTTCTAAAAGAATTAACCGATGCTCTAGTTGCATTCCATACGAAAGTATTTTGAATCGTTTAGTGAGGTGTTTTCTTATTTTACCTGTTCCTGGAGGCACCCGGCATATTTTAAATATATTTATATTTTCGTCTTGGTAGGTATTTTCGGAATGGTAGGAATGTGCCCAACGCACTTTCTTTTCGGGGTTTGATTCACTCTTAAAACAAAACACCTCCGCTCTAAAATTAACTCAGAATATTTCTCATCTGATTCGGTAGTCGAGTCGCTATAATTCCATTAGTAAATTATTCTAAATATGCCCCCTGGGTAGAAGATGGCGACGGTATTGTCGTGGAATGCCAAACATCGAATGCGCAGTCCAAGGGTGAAACTATTCGCCGGCTACGATCCGAGATAAACCAACGAGAATTTCATATCAAAACGGAGAAATTGCATTACAATGCAGCAGGAGGCAATGCAATATTGAATGATTGAAATTTGACGTTTGTGACCCGATGCTAAACAAGCAGCTGTAATTTCTCATGCAGTTGCTCGCGATTTTGATGATGCTTTCCTCCCCACTCGGCTACCAATTGCAGGTAAATGCTTACACATTTAAAGAGTCATCTCAAAGAACAATGGAGGTTTCGAAGCGGTGAATATGCATATGAATCTGAGTGAGCTTCCTGGATAAACGCAGTAAAACTCAACTTTTTTTTGTGCGGTTGGTGCTAGCATCATTGTTCTTTTCATTCAGAAGAAATAAAAAATTTCTCTGTTTATAAATTTTTATTCTTTTCGCACAGCGCACATAAATATATCACGAACTCCCCAGATGCAGGCCGAAACAAAGGACTTAACACGCTCAAAATTAAAATTTCCACATTTGCATACTTTGCACATTCGCAACTTGCGCACTTGGTACAGGAAGCAACATAAGTTTTAAAAAGATTCTCCGTTTGATTAATTTATTTTACGCAGTGGGGAAATGTGAATTGTTTAATTTACCATTGTTAACTTTACGCTTCCTGCCGAAAATATAATTTTCACTGAAGTGCTTAAAAATTAGACAGCGCAAAAAATTATTCACAGCAACCGGCATTGTTTCATACTTTCAGAAACTTTATGATGACCCATATTTTTTATATTCATAAGGATTTTGATGTGCATTTTAAAAAAATCGCACCCACCAGACCAAACAAGCATTGTCCGCTTTTTCTGCACACTGCAGCTGCTGCCACGCCAGAGTAGGTATATATTTAAATATTTTCCGAGTCACACCAAGCATCAAATTAAAGTGAATGTTTGTGTTTTCTTTCCTTGCAAATGAGCACAAAAATACATACCACTGTCACTGTTGCGTTATATTTTGGTGGTGCTCGATTCGGAATTGAATAAATGAGAGAAATTTATTATACGAATGTTGCATGCGTGCATGACAAGCACCCGAAGGTATATGTAGGTCAAAAGAGGTAAATATTATACACATTACGCTGGAATGCGACGAATGTTCCTACAAAAACGGATTGCACACGCGAATGCGGTGCCTGCGAGCGTAAATTCACCTGCAAAACTTGTATGCGTGCCATGCTCATACATGGCTACGACTTTTAGCGAAATTGTTCAAATGTCGAGCGGTGTGGATATCAGCTGACGTCCTTGAGATCGAAACTCAAAACAACGTTCTCCGACTGGTTCTATCAATACAAGTAGGCCTGATGCAAATTGAAATACACACTGAATTTATTTTTAGATTTTCTATAAGACACGTCGAATCTTTTGTTCATTTTGTTAAAAATCACCTGGAGTACCAGGTTCTTTCAAGATGACTTATAGTCAATGACGAGTGGACTTGAATAACGATTGATTTCACATTTCGCGTGTGTGTGGATGTGTTTTTATCTAAAAAAACATGGCGTAACAAAAATTGAATGGATTTTTATGAAGAACCCTCACATTTATCGTGGGGTCCGCGATGAACTTTTGTGGCAGAATGCAAGCCATCCCACAAAAGATGATTTCTTCCAAGTCGTTCGGGCGTCCCACTTTGGGGTTTTTACGGCTCTACATTATATTTCCATTCCATTATATTTCGGGGTAGCTAGCCGGGCAGGGCAAATACGATTATAAACACTCCGAAATATGCTTTGCGCAGTCAAGCGACTTCATTCTTTTCGAATCACACATTCATGCGTGCCGACCCAAACGGCAATTATTCCATTGTCGACCTGACAGGAGGACTTGAGTCTCAAGTCTCCCAGTTCATTACGCCATTGTGAAGTGTGGACATCTTTTGAGAGAAAAATAATAAATCGTAATGCGAAAAGCTGGCCACTCAACTATAGAAAATATTGACTGTCGGAACAGATATTTCACATGTAGCAGCTGTAAAAATGTGAAAACTACTTGAGGTTTGAATCGAATTTCAAGGGTTTTAATAAACAATTAAATAGTCATTTCACCCTTTGGATTCGATTCAATCAGTGGACGTAGACGGTGGAAAACGGGACGATTTAATTAAGCACGGATCGGCGATTTGCGGCCAAATTATTCGTTCACTTTGTAATTCCATCAATTGTATTATTCCTACGAATGTATGCGCCAGAGTCGGAATGAGTCAATGCCGGCGAGTTGGAGTCGGCAACGGCTCTCAGCGTGGAGAAGAAGACGAAGAAGCAAGAAGCTAAGGTTGCTGGCGATGCCGGGTCGTTGACTTGATACCACATGGCGCGCACTCTCTTCTCGAGGAGACCAGATCGCATTCCACAAACGTAAACGCTCGATGCAAAAACAATACGACCCGCAGTCATTACGCCGATTCGCACAACTCAACCATGTGCCGAATATAAACGGCGGCCGAGTCTCCTGACACATCATAAATCGAACATTTGCGCATACCTGCAGGTCGCGTATCAATAATTACCTGCAACTTTTGCGTGTGCCCGCATTGGTGACAACAGTAGGAAAGATAATCCGGTAGCGAGGGCACGAACTTAAGGACGTCGCATTGCGTCGCGCTGTATTCGTCCACAAGTTTCCTATAATGCACACGGAAACTGGGTCTGCCCACCACGGCTGCGGTTGTCTTGCTAAGTCTTCCCATGTCGATGGCGCCCGCGCTTGTGGCTGACGATTCCAGTAACATAACACCAACCGCACGCACTTTTGCACTGCGCAGGAAGAAAGGTGGATATCACTGCGGCGCAATCGATTTGGCGACCGAGTTATTCGCTGACTGCATACGCGAACCACGTACTTGATTCTCTCGCTCGCGCAACGCAACTATTTTTAATTCCCACACTGCCAGTCGCACCAGACACACTCACTGATTAAACGCGGCGCAACAATCTTAATGAAGCGACGCAGCAGCGCGAAGTAAAACGATCCGGGTACCGTCTGTCTGCTCTCTGTGGCTCTTCGTGGCCTTCGAGCTGCAGCAGTGAACGGCACGACGGCGCTGAAGATACTGCCATGGTGTGGTATTCCGAGTGTGTGGGTCAGGTACCCATGGTACCGCGTGTGCGCGCTGGTTGGCTTACGCCGTGGCCAGGTACCCATCGGAATGTTGTCACCAGCAAACGAGCGAGGCCCGCGTATATTTCTTGCACATTGTGCTATTATACCGGAGGCTTGGGTTAATAACAGAATAACTATTTCATAATGGCTCGTCTTTCACGCTTGCGAAAACTTGGGGAGTCGAAATGTTGAAATCTCTTTTGAGTGGGATTCTTGTAAATGTCACCATGGGTGCTTGAATGTTGCGTAGAATATTGATGAATGCTTGAATAGCGGACCACCTGTCCGAGATGACAAGACGGAATACGGATGAAAATTGCATTGTGAGTGCAACTTCAGAAATATTTTATAAATCAAGTGTGGGTCGACATATGGCTCTATTAAAATCTTGTCAAGCACAATCACTTTTATATTCTTAAAAATAATCATTTTTTGCCAAAAATTCTGCAGAAACAGTCAAATATTGAATTGTCTTACTTTTGATGCAGATATCTTAGAAAATATTAGTCTCACAGCATTGGTAAAAATACTCAGACAAAGAGAATTTAATTCTGCATCTTTTGGCTGTAAAATTTTTGAAATATCTGCGGAATAAAAGGTAAAACACTCTATTTTTGTTGCTATTGTTGCCTTGAAAGCTTTGAGTCTTTGTTTCCACAGAAATTCTTCGCTAATTTATGAATTTATCAAGGTTAATGAAATCTGTTTGTAAAACAATATTTGCGTGAGTAATTATATTATGCGCCGACATCCGCAAGATAGTCTTGGGCGCCGGCAGGTAATATTAATAAGATTAGGAAGCCCTTGGCATGATTGCCTTTGTGGCATGCAAGTATGCGCTTACCACATTACCCGGCGCGCTTCACGTCAAAAGCGCGTGTATTGCGCCGCGCCGCAATCGTATTAAATGTTGTCGACCATATAATAATTGCAACCAAGATATTGCGTTAATAACCGTGAACGTGGGCCCAGCGGACGCGCGCGCGCGCTCCGACTTGCATCGCAATTTACAGGAACGTCGGAAACCTGGCAACGAAAGCAGAAACACAAACAGCAACAACACGATACGAGTGAAGGCGCCGGAGTTGCCCACGTGGAAGGAGCTGAACAGAACCGAAGGCTGGCAGCTAAAGAGGATCCTTGCATCCTTGTGTATTCGATGAGTAATAATGGATTACATGCAACAGTGCATTGTTTACTGCGATATTGGCATGCAGTCAAGAGGATTTTTTTGTTTCTAACTTTGAATCTCGATGCCTTCCGGTAACCGCAAATATTTGCGGCTACAAAGTCCTTTACATCAACAACATAAAATACGCTGTAACAAACGCGTAGAAACATAAAAATAGAACTGAACGCAAAGAAGGCGTTGTTGCTCTGGTAGACTATGTGTAAGCAAACAACAATAATGGAAATGATTCTGTTCTCTATAAATCTCTTTTACATTTGCGAGAGCTGGGAGGAGGCGGTGTGCGGACGCTTTCCGGTTTTCCGCCGTTTGCGTTCGGTCGGAGGAGGAGGGCCTGGGAGCCGGAGGCAAAGTGCAAACAACATGTAAGTAAATCTCGATTTGGCTTTTAGAGACGAGGAGACGAAGTAAGTTATACGCTTTGGTCACACAATGCTTTCCACTGGAGGCGGCGGCAATGGCAACGCCAGTTGATGCTTTTTTTCCTAGTGTGGATTGCTCATTCGTATCGAACATTTCAGCACGTCACCGGGCGCCTAGTGTTAGCACTTGTTCTGCAAGCAATTCAATGCGATGTTGGCACTTTTCGCCACCACATTCCAAGTGCCAACGAGTTAAAAAACTGTTTAGCAGTTTTTTTCTCAAAAGGTTAAAGTGCATCAAGGGTTCAATCCAACCAAAAAACTATTCGAAAAAAATGAATTTTGCGATGTGCAAAGTCACAACCTTTCTTCAACCAGTTAACAATCCGTTACATAGTGAGTACTTCAACATTGTTGATCGATTTCCGCGCAGAAAATGCAGTTACATTCAAGCATTGCATTGCAAATCTATAAAAGAATTTCCCACTTTATATGCGCTCATGTTCATGTATACAACACCTCGAGCTGCATAGAAGGTGTCTTAAATATTCGAAATATCTGAAATCCTTCGACTTGCGGAGCATCTGGTAGAAGTGATATGTAAATACGCGTCGCATTTTCCTGTGCGGATGAACGGATCCCTTCGTTTTACATCATCTTAAATGTAATTTATCCATCTGCGTCTCCATGTCGATGTCATCGCGTCTGCGGAACCATATATTATCGCACTACGGGAATTAATCCCGTCGCGCGACTCCAGTTAAATAATAGGTACAGAGAAGACAGACTTGAAATGACGCCATTGAACTTCGGATTAATCCGGCGGAGACGTACCTACATTACGACATATCAAACAAGAAATTGTATAATGTAATTGTATGCAGCATGTGATCAATTTAAAATATATATTTTTATCCAAAACTAATTAGTTTGATGAGAGTTTAAAGTGGCTAAACATTTTTTTGTTTTAAGTGATTTTCAATGTTTTGAAAAAAGTTTTCGTGAAATGTAACGAATCACGACGTGCATGAAGGATAACACTTTGCACTCCTGGAGCGTTTGTGCTCGCAACTTCCAAAAAATACTGCTTCACTTAGTTTCCTAGGAGAGAAAAGTTAAGTCGTTTTAATGGAACGGTTTCCTGAATATTTTATTTTATTCGCACTTTGCACGCATCCTCTTTGGGCTTCCCCACTAATATTTGGTTATACACAGCGGAAATCCCCGAAAGTGCCTAAGGAATGAAAAAGGCGAAGATACAAAAATAGATGTGGATATCTTTTGATATGTGCGATGAGTCGCATTTCTTGCGTATATAAGAAAATCCCTGTTTCTCGGGAAACGTCACGAATTAAAGCGATATGCAACTTCCTGCACATAACAGGATTTCGCCACACTCTAAAAAATAAATAATACACAATATCTTGAGGCGTTAAGGAAAATATTGAAATTTCAACAAAAGTAAATGTAAACCAAGAAAATTTATCTCTGTATGTGTGCGTGTGTGGTAGTCCTTCCGTTTCGATTGGCCTGCTGTTCGAAGTTATAAAAAACAAACCCATAAAAATGTTATGACAATCGAGCCATAATTCATTGGAAAAAAGCAAGACGAGTTTAAAACGCCATAAAACTGAATCGGGAGAGAATCAAAAGAAAATGCTTCCATCTGGAGATGCTAACCGTGGGGAAATTTCCCTAATGCACAGGTTGAAACCTCACAGCATGCACAGACGAAAAATATCGCTAAAAATAAATCATCTCATAACGATGCTTTCGATTCTAAGCCTTTGTGTGATTATTTAACTTATCTCAAATGTAAAACACTAAAAATTATTTTATTAATTTAGCCACCGTAAAGATAAAAAAAAGCATTTCTGCCTGAAGTTGAAACGAGTTGGAAAACGTAGTTTATGTGAAATTTATGTAGCGTGCTTAAGCGGCCAAAACATCCGTTGGAGAATTTCTTCGCGGCGTCGCGAGACACGTTTGCAGACAGACGCGCACTCGCGCAACGCAATGCCTGTCATAACGATTAATCAATATTATTTAATTGCTCCTAAATGTCACGTTAATGATTCCACTTAGACGGTTGCATCTGCAAGTTGCATTCTTTCCGGGACGTTTACCACGCAAACGTGAAAAATGTCAGCAGTGTTTTCCATTGCTGGTTTGGCGACAACAATTTGTTAGAAACGGCAATTTTCTCTATTTTCTGCGTCGCCATGTTGACAACCAGTGAGGTGACAGAAGACGACATGGTAGTGAAATATGATTGTATTGGTACGAATCATTCCGCTGTCAGTGTCAGAAATAATGCACTTTAATTTAGTGAATAAGACAACGTGCAAAAATTTTGAAAATTGAAATACAAGTGTTTGTCAGAAAGTCTGAGAGTTTTTAACGATGCAATTAAAATAAAATTCTATTGTTACTTTAGTTTACTGCTTGTAAAGTCGCGACACTCAAAAATCACGTTTTGCAAAATAATAACCTCCGAATAATTGGATGTAAAAGGCAGAAAATGTTTCCTTTAATTTTGTTATTGCATGTTATGATTGCAACACTTGTAACACACAAGTTTTAGATATAAATAGGATGATATCTCATGTGATGCGTCTGGAAAAGTGGAAAATTGCGTCTCGATTCTACGTTTCAATTTGGATCTTGCACTTGAAATGTCTGCGTCTAAAAATAACAATCACAATTTAAGTGCGTCTGCTGGAAGCAACCCGTTAAAGTCTGCGAAAGTAATAACCAATAATATTTACTTTGTAAAAGCAAGCAAGAATGTATAAATAAAATTCCTGACTCTCAACTTTTGTAATTCAATTATTCCGAGTGGAATTACGTCAACGCATACGCACAGGTTGAAAGTGTGCGACTTTAATAATAAATGCTCAGCAAGATGCTGATTACGACTTTAATAAACAACAATTAGCGGCCGTAAACGAGGCTCTTTAAGCCCACCTCGCATAATTGCGCCCGTGATTATAGGAATTTCGCCAACTCGTTAGAATAAATTGCCCGCGCGCCGACAAGCAAGAGAGGGCTGATAAATGCATGCCATGTGCAGGTACGCAAAACGCGAGCAACTGGTTGCCATTTAAATAATATCGGCGTTGCACAACACCTCGCACGGTGTGAGAGCAGAAGCAAAAAGTGAGCGGTGTGTTTTTTAATTAATTCCAACATTTGCACGCACTCTGCACACAAGAATTCGCCGCGTGGCAATAAACGGCATTGTCACTCTCATTTTCGTTCGGCGGTACTGCTGGAGGGCGGCAGAGGCGTCCACAAAAGACGAGACAAAGGCTAGAAGAAAATGATGAAAAAAGGCGGATGCAAAAAGCGTGGAATTGAGAACCGCAATCTCCATACGGAATGAGAGATGCCAACCGAGGCATGAGGAACAAGGCACTCGGAATGTCCTTAATTCGAACACACAGAACAAGCCATCAAACACGTTGACATCTGTATTTACCATCATCTTGTGTTTGTGTGTATTCTTCTTTTGTGCTTCGTGTGGCTGCAATTGCGTGAATGAAGAGCCAGCGAATACGTGTGGTCGACGCGCATCGCACATTGACAATCTATTGAATTAAAGAGAACTGGAGAACCAGATCGCGCAAAAAGAAACAATGCGTGCAGACAAAAGGCCGCCGTGAACATCAATGGTGTAGGAAGCGAAAAATTGGAGCGCGAGAAAAAAGTCATTGGGATCGATGTGCGAAATACGTTACACAACATTTGTGTGTGTCAATTTCCATTAAAGTTACAATTTTCTTTGTTGGCTTTTGTAACTTTTGAACGAAATTACACGTTATCTGTTATTGTAATTGGCTAAAAATGAAAAAAAATTAAAAGTTCTGCGACTACTAAACTAATTTTACGTTTAATCATTTATCAAGTGAAAAATCATACATAAATGTAAAAGTTTCATGGAAAAAATAGTTTGGTAATTATTAGTTTCTCAAAATGTATTCTATATCTGCCATTTATTAATAGCTCACATTTCATAACCTCAAAACCCGTATTATTACCGCGGTATCATTTTTTGGCGACGTTTTTGATTGCACCATAATTTCCTCCCCGAAACAAAAGAACGTAAGGCGCTTATTACGTCAAAAATCCAAAAGGTACACACGAACAACCCGTTTACACCGGCTTCAGTAGTCTCCACGTCTCGTCATCGCCCGTGCGAGCAGATAGATTCAGAAAGGCATAATTAATTCGTCATTCGTGGCTTCGAACTAAATTACATGCTATTGAGGTTAGTGCTCACACTCACTTATACAACTGAGTGTGCGGTTAGCAGCTGTGGGCCGCCATGTACCCTGAAAACATTGAACCATTGGACCGTTGGCCATGAGCCCATACACGCGCGAAGATTCCAGAATGTGACACCGTAATTCGACACGGCAGTGCTGGCAAGCTTCAAGATCACATCAAAACATTGTGTTCACAAGTCATCCAAACACACTGCATCGGCGAGTAACAATTGTAATGTTCAGAAACGTAAAATTAAACATAGATTGCCATTGAAACTCAAGAAGAAGAGGGTTGATGATGAGGGTGCCCTTTTTATTCACTGGTATTACTTTTATTCTACGCTTAACCAATCATTACGACGAGAATAGTTGAATTCGGTTTAATCTAAAAAGTCTCGACGCGTCTCATTTCGATTACTGGTTTCCGGTTACGATTTCCCAGCCACGAAAAAAGCGAAAGCAATATCAATTTATTTTTTGACTGCCTGTTGTGCGGATGGCACCAAGCATGAAAATTGATATTTCCATGATTTCGCCCACTCAGCCAAACAACATATGTTTGCCTTTTTTAATGACGCACACGTTTCTCCTCGCATGAACACTTTTTTGGCGTGATTTGCCTCTTTTTGTGGCTCAGCCACTTGAATACCTGCTGGTTGATGGCCTGTTGGTAGATGGTGTCTGATTGAATCGTCGATGTCACCTGGCGTTTTTTGCTCAAAAGTCGCCTCATTAAAGCGTGTGAGTTTTATTTTTTACTTTCTAAATTCATTTCATTTCCAACATAATTAGGTGGACGAGATTTTTGTACAAGGGTACGAAGGAGACTTGCGTGGTGATGCACCTGGTGATTCCAGGCAATAAATTAGATTTACCGACGAAGGCAATTTCATTTCGGTCTATAATTTGAGCGATGTAAATCACTTTTTACAGCGCTACCGCGTTTTTCTTTCGTTTTCAAGATTAACGATTACAGTTTACTGGTTTACACGATTCCAACCACAACAGAAAAATGTTGTCGATGGTTATCTTTACGAGATGCTTGTGGTTTTGTTCAGAATTTGAGCAAGAAGAAAAAAAGCGGCACGAACAAAGCTCAAATCGTTTTAAATAAAAATCTCTGCCATTTTCAAGTTTCTCTCGAAATTTAAACACATTATGCCGTTGAAAACGCTTAAACTCTGCTTAATGTGATCTCAAGGTGGTGAAGGTAAAGATTTACGCAAGCTGTGTGTGCTACCGAAGTGCTCGGGTATGCGGGATGCTTCAGAAAAAGATAATTACTTGCCTGCCGAGCGCTGACGGTACGAAACGAATGGCAGTACTGCTGTGAGAAGTGGCCCCTCGGTTCGCGCGCCAGAAAGCTGAAGAGTCGCTCGTCAGGATCACAGGTAGCGTACGAGATGCGCCGCAGCGCGTGGGCCATATACACGACCTACAACAACACAAAAAAGTTTATTAACTTCACCATACACAAGCAGAGAAGCAAAGTGAGATTCCGAGAGGTTTTCGTTCTTTGTTGCCTCGGCTGCTGTTGAAAACAACAAAAAAAAAACAACAACCACGACCTAGTGCCCAACTGATGGATTAAAACTTGAGACTGTAAATGCTGCTCAGTTGCTCACTCATCAAGTGAACATCTTGTAAGTTGAGTTCTTGACTCCTCATATTCCACATCATTTGCATAGTTGTCGGGGAGCATGAAGGCAAAATTGGTAATTTTGTTAATGTGGTTTTAGTTGAACGAAGAGGGCGTGAGAGTTGAGCCCGCACGCTTAAATTAGAAATAAATTAGTTGCCGTCGTAGGTCTTAGGTCTAGGTATGGCTCCAACGTTAGATATTCGTGTTTGCATCTGTTTGTATCTGCATAAATGAGTGAGGAAAGTTGGCTGGATGTTTTGGTGTTGTTTTATGCGTGGAGGTACTACGAGTACCTGCGATTGTAGACCGCTCGGGGAGAGATGTGTATCTTTGAAATGGGGCAACGGGACGCTAACCTGAAATTGGAACTAGGGCGGATCCAATATTTTTCAGATGTGCTTTGTTTCTGCCGTTTTTGTTATGTTTCGCTTTGTTTTACATCTATTCGAACACAAAAAACAGCTTTAAAGTTTATTAGTTCTTTGGTTTGAAAAAAATGTGGATGTAGTTTTGGGTTTTGTGTGAATAATTTGAGTTTGGTCATGTTTTTGTTGATTGTAGTTCGGGATATGTTGAATTTGTAATAATTCAAGCATGAACATTTTGGCCATTGACAGGCTGAACAATCGGTGTATGAGAGATCAATGCAGCCACCGGCGGCATCAATGCTCTGCGTCTAGTTGTGCATTTCGAAGCATGAATAGACAATGTCAGAAATTCGCAACGCAACGTGGGACGCAGCGTAATAGCGCGGAATAGGTGAAACAATACGAATTCTGATTCCGCGCTGTTTGCACTCGCGCTTCAGTTTAGCTCGGCGGGATAATTTGCGCTCAATTACTTTCCTTTTGGTTTGAATTCAACTTCGACTAATAATACTGTATGATGACATATAACAAGATGGCATGCTACGTATGTGTATCCACTGATAACAACTTCAAGAAGTAAATATTGTATGTTAACTAATTTTTCTAAATATTTAAAGTCATTTTGAAACAATAAATAATCCAGAATGAATGAATGTTCTCAACTAGACGCGTTAAAAAGCACGAACAAAAAAATTGGAAACGTATAACGCTGATTTACGAGTTCGCCATGATATCCTGGACACAAAAAATTTACAGCGCGTCCCACGAGAGCGGCGTCCGGCATTTGCATCGTGTTCCCGTTGAAGATATGCGAACGCGCTTTTATCAGCGCGAATAAATCTAAAATTTATACCTATTATGAATTTCAATCGTCTATTAAACTTTATTATTTATATATCATTGTATCGCTCGCGTCCACAGACCATTAAGCCGCGCAACCGGCGTCGTCATCATCGTGTGGAGCCCCCAGTTACAGGCGCGTAGAGCGTTTAAAATTCATTCCCTGTCGTTTTACATTTTATTTTCGCTGTGATATTACCAACGATAAACTTTATTGGCGCGAGTTTGACGATAAATTCGATCGGTTCGTGTATTAATTAACCGGAAAACTCTGGTATAAATTATAGATAATATAATATCCAGTTGTATGGTGTGGGATTACTGATTTTAGATCCATTTATTAGCATAGTTATATTACAAAATAATAATAATAATAATAAAAAATTAAATGATTTTTTGTGTAACTAGTAACTATATATTGCGTGATATTCAACAATGTGCAATTACTATTAATTTGCTGATACAATTAATTAAATTGTGTGCAAAGACAGGAATTTCGGTTATTTCGTGTATTGACGTCATGAACTAGAGAATTAGAGAGAAATTTACTAATTATAAATAATTGAAGTGCTTAGTCAAGGATGAATTTTCATTGTTTGTAACTACAGAATCCTAGAAACATCGTTTTAATGATGAATAATAATCCTGTTTCAAAACAAAGCTTATATTAATATTATTATAATAATGAAAATAGTATTAACCGTTTAGTAAGTTTCCAAAAATCGTTTTATTATATTAAATTTTTATGTTTCTTGTATCTACTAATTGTTTTTCTTTTTAAAAAATTTGTAAAACGATAAGTTTTTCTTGTTACTGGCAAATGGTAATCGTTTTGCCCTAATGTAAGAACCCAAAGGAAGTGGTTGTCCGTCACCCCTCATCGCGGTCCAGATTTCGATGGGGTCGGTGGCGCCCGTCGAGAAATGATTTATTAAGCTGTCCGTTTCGGTCGACGCGTGCGGCAATCACGCCGCGCGAAAATAAAAGCAAGTCGCATCTCTCGTGTGTGAAATGCCCCCTTTTTTGTTCTTTTTCGCGTCCTCACGACTTTCTCGTAGCTCGTTTTAATGGTTTGCGGGCGTGCGAAGTGGGTGCGAAAACAAAAAAATCGAAAACAAAAGAGCAGAACACAAAAAAACAGAAAAAGCACAAAACTGTGAAGAGGAAAACAAAAAAGATTGCTTGTTCTGTCACATTACCAAAGAGAAGACTTTTTCGCGTGTTGCATATGTTCACTATTTGATTTTTTTTTTGTTATTTTTGTCACACGTGAGACATTTAAGTGCCCGTACAAATAATCTCCACAGCTTCTCGAAAGATGATAAATAATTCAATTTCTAATGGAAAGTTTTCACCGCGAGCGTGTAAATTGCTGCTCGCATTAAGCTGCGGCCATCGCAGTTCAAGTCCAGCGTTTTCCCGCCCCAAACTCAGTGAGCTTATAAATCTCGAAGCTTTTATTGATGTTGGAAGTACTTTAAGACACTGCACTTGCCCACTTTAGGCTACTTATGCAGATACTAATTAATTAAAAATTCATTTAATTATTATCATCGTCTAATTATAAAATAATAATTTTTTTTCACAAAGCATAAAGTGTTACAATTTCAAAATAAATTAATTAGAGTTCTCAAGTAAATTGAAATGTTTTTGTGCGGATTCGCAGTTAATTAATTAATGAAGCATTTGAAAAGTTTGTAACTAATGAATATATAACCTATATAATCGAATTTTCAAGTGCTTACGCTGGAAAAAATCAAGTACGAGTTAAAAATAATTACGTGCAATTCCAAAAAATAATAAAAAAAAAACCTCAACAGGGCTGCACTTAAGTTAATTGTCAACAATTCCAGGAAATTGTCCAATTTTTAATTAAACGAGAGTTAAAATTTAATATCAATCCAATATATTTTACAGCATTTACAGGTAAAGTCCATAGCTGAATTTGATGTTCACTTTTTAGAAGGAGGAGTGAAACAAAACACATTGGGCACTTTGCGATGAAACGCAAACGTGATTAATGAAAGCAATGTTGGAGTATACCGTAAAGCAATGGAACTATAGTGCAATTTGTTAAATTCGTGTTTCCACTAAACGCGCTGCAGAATAGACAAAATTACATTCCTCATTCAACGTGTATTCCAATATTCATTTTCCATCATCATTTCGAAATAGAATTGTACAGATTTGTTAATATTATCTAATATTCCCCGATTAGTACCTACTTCAGTTACAATATGTGAAATAAATATAAGTGACATGCAATTATAACGTTATGGCTTTCTTCTTCTATTTTTGGCTGTGATCATTGCGCATTACGCAACGTCATGTTGAAGCCGCATCAAAGCACCACCACACCGGACGACTCCGCGAGGAGTAATAAAACATCAAAAAGATATAAGTGAGATTAATGTCGTTAAAGTAGATTGAAGTGGAATCCGATCAATCATGCTGGCGAATTGTGACAAACGAATTTCACGCATTATTGGAAAACAGGCGGCCGGATGGGGAAAAAACATTATTCATTGCTTGTTGTCGAGCGCAACCGGCGTGCCCACACAACAAGCACGAACAATCTGATGCACAGAGGTTTAAACAAACAGAAGATTGCCATCATCACGTCGTAGCAGTGCCATAGGATACGATTGCCATAAATCGTTATTGCCGTGCTTTGATTTTTGTAACGTGTGGAGGCGCCGGGATTTCATACATATATTATTATTGTATTTATGATTAAAAGCATTTTCACTCGTCGCAGTATTTATACAGTTGAAAACGTTTAATTAAAGCTTTTTCCGAATTCAAATTTCAATATTTCAATTGATGAGGTGTAATCAATACAAAATAAAATAAAATACGAAAAATTACAAACTAAAAATAATAATAATTAAACATTCAGTGTTGTATGTACTCTCATGGTACTTGCTTGCTCTCTTATTATTAATGATGTCTGAGAACCATCAATATAGAAGAGGCACACACGATGCAAATGTGCACTTCAACACTCCTGAGCTTCAGCAATTCAAAAGCTCTTCGTATGCCAACATTTTCATTCGCTAACTGGCGAGACATGAAATTAAATTGCCGCCACAAAAAGACAAAATAAAGAGATAAATTCACAAATTGTTAAAATATTGTAAATTATGTTTTTTGTCATTTTTTCAAGTTTATATTAATACTTTCATCAGATATGTATATTGTGTCTTTTGACGTTTGGCAACAGCAGGTTGTATCCATCACTGTTCAACAGAATGCATGAACATGATAACTGTCATCGTCGGTTCCATTATTTATGCTTAACTTGCTCATCAATCATATCCATCGCGGTGCTGCGTTTGCCGAAAACATATGAATCCAAAATGAGATTATAGCTTTTCACATATCGCGCATCACGTTGTTATCAGCGCGGTTACGCGCTTCGATCCGAAGCAGTTTGACTAATATTTATATCCTGTCGCGCGCCGTTATCTATCAAACGCCGTACGCTAAGAGATAAATGATCCGGCACTAATAAATTCTTCGATATAAACAATGAATGATAATTTATTATGTATTAATTTAGGTAAATACAATTGTTCGAACCAT